GGTGTTTATCATCAGGAGGCAATGAGAACCGGAAAATTTATAGTCAAATTGCATAAGGGCGAAACGGATCGGAGAACTCATGTCAACCAACCCGTTTGAACCAAGCATTACTTAATATCTAGGGTCTGAAGAAAACAACTGACAGACATTTGATGAATAAAGTAATTAACACACACACACACACACTCACAAATCAAAACAGTCAGGGTTAATAAGTAAGTATGTGACAAGGTCAAAATATGCATCCAGAAAAGTGAATAAATTGGTCTGTCCAGAAGCTAGAATAGCCTATGTGGGCTTAACAAAGTACCATACACTGCATAATTTGGTAACAACGTCTTCAGTTTGGCGTTATTATTATCATTTCACTTATTATTGGCATCACTCATTTGAATCAAACTGAAACCATTGTAATATTAGATGAGTACTTTTCATGTTGTAAAACATTGAACTTGGACAGCAAATTTTTCCAACACAAGATGGGCAAGCATTTTGAAATCTGGTTACAGATTATTAGTGATATTACAGTCTCCTTTAATGACTTATACAAAAGTCACACTACATTGTACATCATCTGGAACCAAATATGTAGGACATTAAATATAAATTCAATGGTTCATTGAGACACTTCAAGGATATTACTCCTATCCTTTTTTCGTGATTGTTATTTACGATCGACCGATCTTAAACTAGGATAAAATAGCTATCCAATCCTAACTTAAGCTACCGTTTATTTATTACAAACATGTTACTCGGTCCACTCCCATTTATGTCGCAGCTGTGCTCCTATTACAATTTGAATGTATCACTTCATAGTGTACATATGTCATATCTGCAGATATCGAATGTAATATTGATCTACATAACCGCACTGCAGCTGATGCGAGACTTTCCCAGTCATCATTATCATGGTCGTTTTTGCCATGAACTGTGTTACTAATCTACACTGACGTATTCTTTCTAGTCACAAACTTTTTTCCTGAATAAACAAATAGATAACATTTAACCAAACGCTTCAATCAGAATTTAACGGTACTAAGATCGTGTCCCAATTCTTTTGCCTCATGCGTTAATTAATTTAGCCGCTCCCATTTCAATTCTGTTAACTGTAGACGTTATGGTTCCTCAAAAAAACTACAGAAAATGACAATTCTCTACTCACTGGTTAAGAGATTCGAACTGATCAAAACTAATCTTTAATAGGGTTGGACTATAATACATGGACGACCTTTGAACGACACCAAAATGACCTTGTGAGTGTCTACCTTCTTACTAGGGCTAAATGCGTGTTATAAACCAGTTTGAACAGTAAGGATTATGATTCACAGTTGATAGTTAGAGTTAGGAATTAGATTTACGTTTTTTCATCACGAACTCACATCAGCTAAAATGTCAAGACGATATCTATCCTGATGGATGAGTGAATTACGCACCAAAATCCGAGACCTGTTATCTTAAACCTGATTGGATCCTCCATATTCTCGCCTCTCAGTAGCAACTGTAGGGAGTAACTTCCTAAAGGTGTAATTCCAAACTATTCTCTAGACTGTCGAAACAGAGTGTGGTAACCTACTTTTATCAAGAGAACGTGATTGGTGTAATGGAAACAATCCCCATTATAACCAATTGTACCAGTGATTGTCTTACCGTACTTGTTTGTTTATCTGTGCTAAAGGCATTCTTCCTACCTTCGATTGTGACCTTGCACGAATTCGGTTACACTCAGTAATCACACTTGTACTCCTTCGGCACGATCTCGGTATTCTTTCGATACCACGAGATCGCCAACTAATACATCTCGACTAAAGCCATCAACTGTTTTCTGATATTTGGCTCACGGAGGAGTATAACCTGGTAACTGGCACGTAGTCTTCCTGTAAAGGTGATCATAGTCAACCGCAACTCGACGCCACACTACAAGAGTCTAATCTTAGCTTAACCAAAGTCAGATCAAGTAAGCTATTCGGCTTGATAAACTTTGTCTGTTTCTAAAACGTAAATCAACACTGTCACTATACAAAATAAACAATACAGTCTATTATTCAGGGAAAAGGAAAAACATAAATAACATACCGAACAGTAACTTGACTATACGAGAAATGAGTCAACAAAACGAACATAAAATTGTGATTGGTGGATAAACAAGGCAGAGTCAAGGTCAAAGAAGGCTAATGTGTTGGTGGGAATTTCATGTTAGCATTGGTGAGTTCGTTTATCGACCACACGTAACAGCAACTACGTTTAAATAACCATACATTTCCATAAAGCCAACTGTAGTGCATCTTACACATACCAGATTAGACTAGTAGTCTTGGGATCCTATCAAGGCTTTTTTCTGTGTTTTTAATATTCACAACTGATTCCATACAAGGTAGATGCAGACTACTTCGGTGGGGTCTGCATTAACATCGTAACCAGAGCTTGGAGACTCTGGGTGACATTGCTCAGAATCGATCACAACGGCGTCGGTGTACATACACTCTGTCTTCCTGTACTATGCCCTTATATGCAATCATTCTTTTATATTACCACCGAATTAACCACTACTAGGAATCCGGTGTTCCTCTCACTGTGCTAATGCAGTATGGCAAATTGAACCGATGCACATATATGCCTGGTCTTACGTTGTAGCTGACTGACTGACTGACGATACAAGGAGTATTCTAATACATTTGAAGTACAAAATAAAATGATATGTGACCTAATTAGCTTAACTGATGCAACTGTTTTCTTTTGTAAACAGATTGTTACACTGAAATCTGTAAATTAGTAGTGGTCAGAGTAATATCTTCATTATGTTATAGGTCAAATATTGTTTACATTCTTATTTACAATGTTGCATTTGTAAAAATCATAAATTGAGAATATCGTCTGAAAATAGCATTTCTCTCCCAGGTCTAGTCTGAAGTTTTTCAGAGGTCATGAAACCATTTTGTACTCATGTGGTTTACACTACTCATATCGACAGATATAAGTGGTATGTATCATCAATCGAAAGTGAAATGTCTGGCTACATAAAGTTAATTAGATCGAATGAAAGAGAACGAGAACAGAGAATGATTGGTGGGGAAACGAAATAACAATGAATTCTGAGACGATTGATTGACATTTCGCAAATGAAGAATTTACTGTATGGTTCTGAGATCTTATGAAGATGTTCTGTAATTTTGTACTGTAGTACATTAAGTTGACACCGATTGTGTTCTCCTTCAATACACTAAGAGATTGTTCATTTATGTTAGACTGTTGATTCTGAATTCTAAAAGTGCAAAGTAGAGACTACAAACGTTGAAATATATTCGAATTAAAGTATATGGCGAAACAGATTAGTATATAATCAGTTCGTATATGAAAACCATTGCCTAAATATGAAGTAGGATTTTCGTCCAATTCCAATTAGTCAATAATTGGATTAGTTAGTAGATTTATTTCGACAGATATAATAAATCTCTAATTGTGACCAAACAAGTCGGCATATGAGAAGTTTATCTCGTTCCATCTACTTAAACAAAACCGGAAATGTATAAATCGACCACATAATGCACTGGAGTTCAGTAATACACCTATTCAGAGAATAATAGGGAGGTAACTCCCTTTTTAAAAGTCATGTATGATACACAAGAAGTGAGTAGTCACATATCACTGTCATACACACATGTATGAAACATGCTCAAGGATAGACGTCGTTTGGTTGACGAGCGAATATATATGCGTAAACGAGCAAATGAATGATGAAGAGAATTCATCTGTTCATAGGTCAGGATTAACCACGTAGGTCTACAACAATATCAATTACTACACGACGATATTTATAATAAGCATGTCAGCATGTGCATTACAGATGGAATCGGATAATAATTATCTCTCCAAAATAGGTCATGCACACATATTTTTCTTGTCGATATTGACTAAATTCAGTTGGCTCATAAAGAGTTAAACAAACGTGACATTAGTCACCACTCATTGTTCAATCAGTTGAGATTACCTCAATCATACAAGAAACCAGTCAGTATCCGAATAACTCAGTCGTAACTTCCTTGGCTGTTCAACCGAATAATACGGATTCGAGTAGGTTAGGAAACATCAGATATGCGTTGCCGATTAGTGTCAAATAGCGTAAAACCTAGGTATAGGATTTCATTCTGACTGCCTCCAACCACCCAATATTTCTATAAGCATACTGATTTTCTATTGACACATCAACCCACTATAAATTAATAATATATTTGTAATATCCCAATGAGTAGAAAAATTAGATTTTCTGACGTTTCGTGACTTGGTGTAAGCCACTTCTTCAGAGGGTGAATAACCAAATCCAAGTTTAAAATGCACAACAAATCAACCCACCATAATTTTCTCCATACATAGTAGGTGAACAATTATTTTCCTCTAAAAACTAGCCATATACTACGTTGATCAATACTACTTATACCGACTTATACTGACAGACAGAAGTAGTACACACCACCAGTCGGAAGTGGAATGTCTGTCAGTAGAAGATTGAACTGAATAGAACGGGATAAGAAACAGTGAAAATTCGTAACAATAATAAAATCCAAAGAATCATAATGAATGTTAAAGACAACTGAAAGATGTGCAAATAACGTGTTTTCAATGCACTCTGTAATTTCTCATCAAATATTAAATCGGTTTATCCCACCTAAGCTATTATATTCTGACGAGAATAATGAGTGGTAACTTTCGAGAACTATTTATGCACCAATATGATCCATATATTTTTATTGTGGAATTATTAAGTGGCTAAACGATGCATATTCATGTTCCTCTTATTAGAAGATTTATTTTGACTTATGGAATATTATTATACAATTTACCGTTATTGAGTTCTGTCCAGTCTGTTAATTATAGTCTCCCACATTCACAGACACTTTCGGCTACATCTTCTACAAACGTTATTTTCTATTTTATAGTACGATGTGGTCTGTTTGATTTGTATATGAACCCAGTATTTTTGAAGTACATGATTCATATCACGGACGCTGCGATTAGTGTTCTGGACACAACAGATAGGGCTAGGCAGGAAGCAGGACCTATAAAACTATAGACTGCTCGCACGGGTTTTACTCATCTTTGGTCCGATCGATAACTCACTTTTCTCTAATTGGCGGTATCATTACGTCATATATTAATAGTGCACAATGCCACAATTTGTAACAAAGTCTTCTTACAATCCATTGACACATCTCATCAATAATTCAATCACTCCTCAATATTTGATATTTATTGGGTTCAAGACAGCTCTGTTTTTTAACACACTCTTAAATATGCGTTAACTAAATAGAATTACAATTTTATTGGTTGAGGGCATGAGTCAATTGAAGATAGATCACCATGAAAATTCTGCAATAACTGAAGTTTAATTTCGTGGATTAGTTGAAGTTACACATTAACACCATTGGATCCCGGCTGCATCAGTAGTCTAGATGATAAGCGTACGTGAGCGAGACCGATTGGTCCAGGGTTCGAATCTCGCGTGGCGAGATCGTGGATGGGCACTGCTGAAGAGTCTCACAATAAGATGAAATGGCTGTCCAGTGCTTCCAGGTTGTCAATGGTAGTCCAGCTTCAATTGATTCATGATCTCAGCTATTAAAATTCCACAAGAAATACCTTCTCATATACATGTGTTAACTGAACAGAATTACAATGGTACAACTTCAGTAAATAATATTGTAAATAAAGAAACGCTTAGAAAAATGGATGATCTTTATTTGTTAATCACTGAAAAGTGAACAAAACGAATGTTCGTAATATAATTCACTGTATTAAAACAAACGATTTATGTGGAAATCAATTAATTATCAAATATATATGAATGAGAATGATGATTGGCTCACTACGATTGTAAAATTGGATTCATTACTTTAGCTGCCATTATCGGCATTGTTAATTGTTGATCATATATAAAGCATATAAATGGATGAGTTACATGAAAGTCTACTTCTGGTATAATGGCTGAAATAGGCACAAATATAGGTGAGGTTACAGTGGTTGCTTCAATTCCACTTTCATTTAATTTTAATACATTTGTTTGAATAAATTCATTCACATATAGATTGTGATTAGGTGTGATACCTGACGGGAAAAGAACGAAAACATGATGTAATCGAATTAATGTGCTTGAATTTAGAGGTACACATAAAATCAAGAATGCAAGTACATCTTGTTGATGAATATTAAATATTATTCTATTATTAGCTGCATTCACTCGCTTTCTCAATCTACCATTTCAAACATCCAATTCAATATCCAAGATGTCAAAAATCAACGAATGATTACATATTGAAATAAGGTTCCACTTCTACTGAATTATTCTTTTCCAAAACTGCCGAATTTTTAATCGATGAAACAGAATCGGCTGGATTTTGTTTGGGAGATTACTTCCAATACTACTCTGATGGTTACTTATTTTCTCACGTTATTCATGAATAAGTATAATTTCGACGATGTCGAAGGTTAAGTCTAACATATTCATCAACTGTTCTGGTAAATATTATTACACAGCTCAACTTAGTCTTTTCTATTTCCTTATAAACATTTTGAGAACCGAACAACTTATAATTGATTGTCAAGCACTGAATTATAAACAGTTTGAGTCCATCTAACTGTTCTTCACGTTTCAACTCCACACAAAGGAAATGTTGTTATGTATGTCTTGAGAATTCTGACTTTAGTCTTGGCTGTCTATATGTGTATAATAATTGTGTTCGTATGTGTATGTATGTTTGATTATGGATTACAGCCTACACGCATATTCTTCTCACTAGCATAAATGTTGCTTACTTAAATTGTTCCACGATTTATTCGTTTTCCCATAAAATGTGTTTCTGAAACCCATTCATTGATTGGCGTTTAAATTCTCTTTCTTATTCGCTCCGAGTGCTTGACATTTGTACTTTACTTCCATAGACTGTAGTAACCGCGTCGTATTTCCTTTTGAAATTTATGCATCTCTTCGAGTTATCTAATGACGGTTATAATGGCAGGTGATACACGAAGCATAGCAGTCATCTTGAAGAAACTCCACTACTCATTGACTTCGAACGTTTGAATAAATCCACATAAAATATCTGGGCATAGAAAACATACTAGTAATCTGAGGTGCTAATATCCACTCGAATTCACAATAGAATAATCAGAATTGATAAAAAGAACAATGTATAATGTTTTATGTGAATTTACCAACTTAGATATTCTTACCTGACAGATCAGATTTTACTGGATCAAACAAATCGACAACACCGATAGACTTTAATGTTGGCACAAGGTCAAGTGTATTTTTCAATGTGAATTTCGGTAATCGTAATGACACTGTAGTTTCTTTCAAATTCTTTACGTATTCACTTAAAACTTTATTGCCATTCAAAAGTTCTGTGGCACCATTTAACGACCACTTTTCAAGAGGTAACACGATAACAAATGTGAAACGTGTGTTCTGGAGATGTTTGAAGAAAGAAATAACGAAATGAAATAAATGAGAGTAAGCCTGATGTTATAACTTATAAAGAAGCAAGCACTTGCAAATGATGAGACCATATGGATTTTCAAACGACTGGTTACTTTGAACAGGTAACGACATTACGCAAATAGTAAAAGAAAGAAGGCTACAGAGAAAACTGATTTACCACTACTGAAATATCTTGGACTGGGTTCGTATCCATTTAAATATCCCCCATTATCATGGAATCCGTATGACTATTCGTGTGATCACCAAATTGGCGGTATAGGATTTATGTAAGGACGGCCTAGGACAATTACAACAGTGACCTCAGAGGCCTTAGAACAGCCGAACAGTTTCATTCAATCTCAATGCAATGGCGCTTTCCAGAATACCAACGTGGTATTCTACTGTTAGTCTATAAAACATCATGCCTCTTTGTGAATTTTTCGAATCATAATGTTGATTTACAAAACGCCAATATCTATAAATACCCGTTATTTCCGGTACATTCTAATACTTGCCCAACAAGCACTTTATCCAGTCTTCTTCTGTCTTCTCATTTACGACTTGGGAGGGTTCTAGCGTTAAACTACTCAAGGTCTACACAGTATATTGAAAAACTAAGCTCTAGATATAACAAATTATAAAATTCATTTGTATAATTGTTAGGGTGAATATAACTGTTCAATGTAAACAGTTTATTAAAAATGAGTGCAATCTCAAATTGATAAATCTAATCAAACATTTATGGTACCAAACTGTAGCACGGGTAAATGAACTGTTAATTTTCAAGTGAATGATGCTAGATAAGGCATTTTCTCCACAAAAATAAATCATGATAATCTATACACTTTGGACTAAACGATTGTCCTGTATTTCCAGGTTTCCCATGGTCGTCTAGGTTCAATGGACTCATGAATTCAACCATCAAAATATAGAATAAAGAGACTGACAAACTCAAAACATAACAGAAGTTAGAAAAAACACACTTTTAATTACTAACATTTAATGGTTTACTGACGATCTCAAATCCTTCATCTTCGAATTTTCCATACTTCATTACTCCTTCTTGAGTCATCATATCAACTGTTATTTGACGATCTGGTGAAATATAAAAATCCTCCTTTCTAGTGTAATGAGGCTCAAATGGACTTTGCCAAAAATCTAAAATCAACGATAACTGTGTTATTTCGATGAATATGCAGTACAAAAATATTATCTTTTCATTTCACAGTATTTGTTAAACTGAAAACATCACGAAACAAATGACACTCTAATTTGTTTTGTGGTATAATGGAATCTAAAAATTGCTTTGCAATAAGACGTAAGGAAAAAGCAGCATTAGAAATGATCAAAACACTTTCTGACTGTCGTTACTTACTTATTTGTTTACTCACTTACGCCTGTTACACCCCGCCGACTAGCATTCTGCAATTCAATCTGTACTGGGCCTTCCTTTCTACTTCTATCCAATTGTTGTTCATTTTTCTCATATCTGTCTCCATTTCTCGGAGTAATGTGTTCCATGGTCTTCCTCTTTTCATTTGAACTTGAGGATTCCATGTGATAGTTTGCCTTGTGACACAGTTGGCTAATTTCTTCAATGTGCGTCCTATCCACTTCCAGCACTTCTTCCCGATTTATTCTTTTTCTTGAATCTGGTTTGTTCTCTGCCACAGTAGGTTGTTACTGATAGTGTCTGGCCAAATGATGAGAGGTATTTTGCACAGACAGCTGTTAGTAAACACTGGTATCTTCATTTATAAGAGTTATGACGTCTTATGGTGAAAGACGAGTTCCTTCTTAAAATAACGAGGATTATACCCCTTTTGACAACCAGAGCAACCATTAATTGAAGTACATGGAATGCTCGTACAATATGGAAGACCGGGAGAGTCTTCCAAAGTGATGCAGAAATTAAAAGATACAAGCTGGAAGTGTTTGGAATCAGTGAAATACATTGCACACAGGTTGAACAACAACGACTAGCTTCAGGGGAGCCTCTGTTATACTTCGGCACGAAATGCACTTATAGGATGGGAATCTCATGAATCCAGGATCATTAAAGCCTCCTTCAAAACTAAGAAACTGAGCATGACAATGAATGTCATCAAATACTTAGGGCCTGCCACTGACTGCAATGAAGATCTTAAAGATCAATTCTACAATATTCTGCAGTCAATCGTCGAGAAGTACCCAGCAAATGATTTGACCATTCTGATGTGAGATCTGAATACGAAGGTTGGAATGGACAACACCGGATATGAAGACATCATTGGACGACACGGACTGGGAGAAACGAACGAAAATGGTGAGAGGTTCACAAACCTACGTGCCTTCAATAAACTGGTCATAGGCGGCACTATATTCCCACATAAGCGCGTTCACAAAATCACATGGACTTCACCGGGTCACACTACGCAAAACCAAATCGACCATATTTGCATCGGACTTGGTCCGTGGCGGTGATTGTGTGGTTTTTGGAAGCATTGGATTGTGGACCGTCCTCATTTTTATTCCTATGAGGATTTCTGCTGAGGACCTCTGCTCGTGTAAAACATCACTAGGTGTCACTCTGGAAGTGGATAGGAAATACATTCGGGAAGGCACCCAACTGCGTCACAAGGAAATTTCTCACTTGGAATCCTCAAGGTCAAAGCAAGAGGAGGCGACGACAATGGAACACATTGCACCGAGAAATGGAGACAGATATGAAAAGAATGAACAACAATTGGATAAAACTAGAAAGGATGGCACAGAATAGAGTGGGTTGGAGAATGCTGGTCAGTGGTCGATGCTCCACTGGGGGTAACAGGCATAAATAAATAAATAAATAAATAATAGCGTGATTCATTTGGTGCCTGTTGCGTTATATCGGACAATCTTGCTCGTTCCTTTATATATGCTAAGACTTACATCAGCTTTGGCGGCTGCCACACTGGTCGTGTTCTCATGCATTTGTTGTGGCGTGTGCTACAGAAGAGCTAGATCATCTGCGAAATCTAGATCATACAGCTGTATCCTAACTGTCTACTATATACCGTGCTTCCGCCCCCACAAATTATAAAATGATTCACAATAGTGTGTTTGGACAACAGTTTGGAAAGGTTCACAAACTCGTTGATCAATATATGGTATCTGTCAAAGTTTCAAAATATTCAGTAGTAACCATGGTGGTCGAGACATAGGATTACTGCTTGTTCACATCCATCAACATGTCTTATTCCTCGATGACCCAACTTCAAGTCATACTAGCATAAACCTTCACTCAACTTTTACAGTTCCGCCTATTTCACAAGTCTCAAACATCACAAATCTTAAATCACGAACGTCCAACATGCTCACTTTAATCGCCCTATAAACAAAATACAAAATACTTAACACGAACAATTCAGGCTATTATTGTGATTCTGATTATTCAAGTCATCACATTTTAAGCAACAAATAGTCTTCAAGTCTGTTCTTCTATTAAACTCTAGACTTTAAACAGTCGGATCATAGCTTACCTACCTCTAAAGTAGAAAACATTTACCAGTATCATCGCAGTATCATCTGGAATATCATCTGTAAAGAATTTCTCCAATAAACCATCAGACTGTTGATCAACCCAATCATTGATATCAACTGTAGCACTAGTTCGATTAGAAAAATCCACCTAGAGTAATGAACATTAAGAATTTGTAAACGTTAATTAATTCTAATGAACAAATACTAACAGAATTAATGACTTCATTCCGATTATGATTACCGATAGAAAGCTTTGCAGATGTCGTGATCTTTAATTTGGATCATTTATTTGTATATAGTTCGTCGTTGTGAATAACATCAACAGCATATGCTTCAAAGATAAGTGAGTCATTACAATAATAGTAAACTTTAAAACAAAATTAATTCATCACATGGATAGATCTGTGACTAGATTACACTCAGAGGTAAAGTTGTGCGACATTCCAACCACTAGGATTCCGATTCATGATTTACCAACCAAGCAATCCATAATGTGACATGTGGTAGTATGAAGTTTTGTTTTGAAATAGAATTATAATTTACATGGTCGATAATTGAATTGAGGTCCTCTATGGATTGTAAGATCCATAATGATGGCTTCGTGTGTGAAAATCCCTCCATATATACACCTGTAATTCACTCCTCTTGATCCCTTTAGTTGTACATTCTGTTGGTCTGTTTAATTCCATTTCAAATAGGTAATATTTGTATTTTATTACAGATTTCCTTTTCCTTACTTCTTCACTGAGTCCCCATGTTTTCTCCTGAACTGCATTTTTGATTGTGAATTTAAGCACTCTTCCACAATTGGAAACAATCGGTGTTATAGCGCAATCAAATATTATCTTTCGAAAGAATCTGTACGTGATCTATCCACAATGGATAGAATACCATTTATTGCTTGAACTTGATTTGATTGCTGATTGGACAATTATTGGTTGAATAACTGGGTGGCAACATTTGTTTAGGTAATAATGCACATTTATATTTATAATAAAATGTAGAACCCTCATTTACCCAATTACATTGTTTGTTTGTTTTTGTTTCAACTAAGTAACAGCACCTATCTAAACTATCTAGACAGTTATTCTTTTAATCCAAACATTACTATATATAACCCTGTTTAGTATATTGTGAGAAAAGCTCACAATGTGAATTTGAAAGTTAGTAAACGTCAGAGAGCACACGGGAGACATTTAATCTCAGTTTGAAACAGTGCGCATAAGTGATCTCAAATTTATTCGAACGTATTGCATGAATGATGCCACAATGATTATAATATTATTCAGCTGCTCAGCTGAAATTCAACAGCATTATTTTTCTCCATGTGAATCCATAAACGATTTAGAGGGGAAATCTTTTTAAGTCATACAGTTATGACCTGATAAAAGCTTCGTTCCATTCATACGTTATGATCTATTACTGGAACTGTTCTAAATCCCACTTAAAGTAACTCAAAGTGAATGTATGGTTATTTATTATTTAGATGAGAAAAAACAGTCAGCCAACTCATCCATTATTTCTACTGGTTTTTCTGGTAATATATCCACTCTACACTTTCAAACTAAGTAAACCATCCAACTAAATAAAATGGACTTTTCCGAAGTATCACATCACGAATAGTAAACTATTCTAAGAACATTCTATGAATGAGACAGTCGATTACTTATCGATTAATGTTTGCGAAAACGACTGATTCTTCATTACATTAAAATTTACACAAAGTATAATGACTTGCCTGTTTCAATTCTCCTTCAAAATCATTTGCAATACTTTCGGTAAAACGTCTTTCAACTTCGTACGTTTTTTGTACAAATATACCTGTTGATATTCTAACAACACTTTCTTCTTTCTCATTTAAAAATGTTTTTTCTGAAGTAAGCGAGTTATTGAGCTCTTGATATAATGATTTCATTTCTTGTTGAGCTTCCGAAGAATTCCATGAAGAAGATGTCGATTTCAGTCTCATTGTTTTTCCAATTTGATAACCTGTTCTACCTTGAGCACCACCAGAACCTAACAGGATACCGAGTGTGAAAAGTATACCAAGTGGGCATGTCAGGAAGTTGTCCCCACCTAAGACATATGGATAAATAATGTTAAATAAATAAACTGTAGACAATAGAAACACATTCTAGTTATAAATGTCAAGGTTAAATTAGACATTATGCTATAGGTTGAGTAATATGGCATTTAATGACTTCAACAGTAAGGTCTTCGTACGTTGAATTTGTTGTCCTTAAGGTATTCTTGTACGACGTTAACCAAAACTTATGTCTTTCAAACGTAGCAATGCTTAAACACATATCATTGATTACTTGTACTATGTACATTAAACTTTAAATACCAATTCTGGATACGTTTGAAAGATATTGCAATTTTTAATAATCGAGGGCAAGTTCAAAGAAACACGGGATATAGATTTCATTCTGCTTTATACTTGATTTTAATGCGCATGTGCAATCTTAACAAAATCTATATCATTATTCGAATATCTACCTATATCACTGAATGTCACTGTCAGAGAGTATACCAATGAGCTATTCAAATCTCCACTGATCTATTATAAAAATGTGAACTAAATATTTATCTGTTGGTAACTAAACATTTTTCTCTGATCCTTCAGCCATCAGCTTCCAATGTGACGATTAGACTGAGGAACTCAGCGTACGTACCGATGACTGAAAATCATTAATTCTGTGGTTAAAATCATATTTTATCAACATCAATTGATGGAAACTACAAGACATTCGTAATATATATATATATATAGGTGTAGGTGTTCTTAAAATTCAAACAGCTCATTGTTGTGTTAAGAAATACAACGATACAATCGACAATGAGGAAAATAAATCTAGATTAGAGTAAACTGGGGTAAGATGAAATTGACAGTAATCAATCTAAAGGAAAACTTAAAATAATCTGCCACAAATGTGCTAAATTTTAACTTGTCGATGGCTAGATTCAATCAATTTTCATGTATATTTTTTTACTAAGATTTTCAATAATAAATGAGATATACACTGACAACATACAGTAGTTAAACACATTTTACGTCAGTAGAACCAACTTGACAGAATATTATGAAATCTTGTTAACATGTAATGTAAGGCAGAAAAAATAGTCTGATTTAAAGCTATCAAAATATAATGACGAATTAGTATTGAGTACTGAGACAATCCACGACCTAGTTTTCGATCACTTTCCATGAGATGAGTTAACCAACAACTTTATTAATTATTAGTTGAGATCATGAGTAAATTGAAGCTAGAGCAGTATGGAAACCAAGAAGCATCGGACAGCTGTTCCATCATATAGCAATGTGCATCCACGATCCCACATCGCAATATTCTAACCCACTACCAATCAGTCTCGATCGCGAACACTTAACGTCTAGACCACTGATCATTCCAGGATCCAACCGCGGTAATATCTAACTTCAACTAATCCACAAAATCGAACGACACATCCACAATTGTCTTCAATGAGTAAATATCTCACAAGAGACCCAGTTGAACTCCACTGATCACTGTTTCTCACTAAAACTACAGGAAATTGTTATTAATGTAATGCTTTGATTAAACTCTTATCAATGATATTATTCATTAAGTTATAAATTAATCAACTAACGAGAGGTTTATACGAATTCAATCGTAAATAATTAATAAAACTTACCAAAGTCTGCAGTAACTGTCGAAAGATACGTACGGGTAAATGCCTTATGACTTGGAATATTAGCATATGGATCATCATTTTTTGGAGTAAATAGTATACCCATATCTTAAACTACTACAGAACTAGTTAACATTAATGACTGATTTACATATATATATAATAAGCTAATCACCATTTTTTAAAGAACGCCTTAGTTTAATCCTACAGATATGTGTCTTACTAGTCATCAGTAGTATGATTCAGATTGGTTAAATCGGATTAACTTGTCCAACACTATGTGTATAACACTAGAAACCAAACTACAGTTCGACCAATTAAGTCTAATAATATTATCACAGCTTTGTGGATCGATATTTGCATGAATAGACCATTAATATGTTTTGAACATATGACATATAGATGAATATTTATTAAATTAGATATTAAATTATAATCTGAAATCTCATCTGATCTAAACGTATGCAAAGCGAGACTTATTTCCGTCTTAGGTTAGAACTAAACAACTAATCAACACTACCTGGTTATTCATGTTGATGTCTCTCTGTAATACTAACCAACTTCAATGTGTAATTTGTAATCATTTGTAATATCATGTTGCACAAACGAGTGGATATCTAAGCTCAGTAGTTGCTAAGTGGAACGAATGACACCAGTTTTGAATCTCAGAGTGAAAGTCAATTCTGAGATGCAGGTATAACTAGCTGATGGGAACCAGTTAGAAAGAAATGAGCAGTCGGAATTTCACTGATAGTCACACTCTCTCTCCATCCTATATCATTTTTAAAAAGTTTAGTTGTTAGATCACACGTCAAAATAAGTTTGATTTTTATGAGAGGTGTATAGTTCCATTACAAATGATATTTATTGTTTAGTATAATTTAGGTTGTTTTTTAAAAATATTAGTAAACAGAGAGTTTGTAACTTCATACATATCAGCTACTTGTTACGCTTGTGATTTTAACAAAAGAGTAGTATTGTATGAAACTACTTATTTATTTGAACACAAAAATATTGTTAAAAAGGGGCATCGAATACATATACGCTACACAAGTCACTTGATTTGAGTGTGGGCTGTGATACTGCTGAGTGCCCAGACCGAAGTATGTGGTTTTCTTAGGGATTCAAACCTCTAACCTTCGACCTAAAAGTCTAATTCAGAAGGCAGTGATCCGAGGTAAGTAGATGCAATCTTATGGCAGTCGGTGACCAATAATATGTTCATACGCCATTCGTCCCATTAGGATCCTGGAGCCCATGTCAACCACTAGTTTATAATCAGGGTTTACCAACTCCACCAGGTAGACCCTCCGTATCCACCAACCTGGTTAAAGTGCCGGACACTAGCTTTCCGACTTCTCAATTTCGTAAAAAACACCCTCACCACAACAAGTCAGTGGGTAGGATTTCCCTGGCAGTACCTATAAACGTGTGGCCATATGACAGCATTTCAAGAAGGAGAGCAGACTCTCCCTACTCCACTCTGTACCAGGGCAATTAGAGTATATTCTCATAACAGCGAATAAAAATCAATTTGTTCAAGTATCTCACTGATGGGTTTAATGATAGGCAGTGTAACGTTGTGCATTCTATTTCATTTACAACATTTAATTATGATTTATTCTTTATTAATAAGTAAGTAGGGTTATTTATTATTAACTAGTTTGTCCAAACAACTTCAGGCAACATCAGAAATTTACCCATCATTTCCAATACTTATAGCTTAAGATCAACACAACCTAACTCTTGCTCGTTGGACATCATCACTACTTGTATTTGACGATCTAAAAACACTTCAGAAGTTTCACTTTCTGTTAACGTTTCTATAAAACGCACCTCCCAATCATCAAATTCCACTGAAAGTATTAAAATTAAGAGAAATACAGCACTGCATCTATTTCGGTAAAATAAAATATAACTTCACTAAAACTAAAGCTAAAATAACATATATCGGTGCTACTTAAAAATAAGAAAATTTTTCATAGTTTAGTTCATGGACTTGATTTCATTGAAAAACTATTCAAAACCACGGTATAATCAACAGATGTTTTGTCCCGCATTGCTACACCTCAGCGGCGAACATCCGATATGGTCATACAGTATTTAGAAGTATTTAATGTTTGACACTTGCACTATAGGATTCCGAATCTATGATCTAGCGGTTACTCATTGGTGTCGCGATTGGGCATCTTTGTTTTGATGTTAGGTAGGGTCATGGTTGCCACCTGCTGAGGAGTACAGTACCATTAAGAAACAGCTGCCTAGTATACTCTTCTTCTCAATGGTTTTCTAAATAAGATCAATATGTAATGAAAACAATAAAGATCCTAATAATCAATACAAACCCTTTTTATTAATAATTTGATCAATTTGTCATTAACATATAATTTACATATAATGCGTTTCTCCTCAATTTACTGGATATATGCACAAATACATGGAAATCCAGTTAAGTATTCTTTTACGTAATGCCTGTAGTGGCTTCGCTTCGGTAATCGATTACCTCGATAACCGTTATAATATAAATCTCAACGGTGTTTATCATCAGGAGGCAATGAGAACCGGAAAATTTATAGTCAAATTGCATAAGGGCGAAACGGATCGGAGAACTCATGTCAACCAACCCGTTTGAACCAAGCATTACTTAATATCTAGGGTCTGAAGAAAACAACTGACAGACATTTGATGAATAAAGTAATTAACACACACACACACACACTCACAAATCAAAACAGTCAGGGTTAATAAGTAAGTATGTGACAAGGTCAAAATATGCATCCAGAAAAGTGAATAAATTGGTCTTTCCAGAAGCTAGAATAGCCTATGTGGGCTTAACAAAGTACCATACACTGCATAATTTGGTAACAACGTCTTCAGTTTGGCGTTATTATTATCATTTCACTTATTATTGGCATCACTCATTTGAATCAAACTGAAACCATTGTAATATTAGATGAGTACTTTTCATGTTGTAAAACATTGAACTTGGACAGCAAATTTTTCCAACACAAGATGGGCAAGCATTTTGAAATCTGGTTACAGATTATTAGTGATATTACAGTCTCCTTTAATGACTTATACAAAAGTCACACTACATTGTACATCATCTGGAACCAAATATGTAGGACATTAAATATAAATTCAATGGTTCATTGAGACACTTCAAGGATATTACTCCTATCCTTTTTTCGTGATTGTTATTTACGATCGACCGATCTTAAACTAGGATAAAATAGCTATCCAATCCTAACTTAAGCTACCGTTTATTTATTACAAACATGTTACTCGGTCCTCTCTCATTTATATCGCAGCTGTGCTCCTATTAAAATTTGAATGTATCACTTCATAGTGTACATATGTCATATCTGCAGATAACGAATCTAATATTGATCTACATAACCGCACTGCATCTGATGCGAGACTTTCCCAGTCGTTATTATTACGATCGTATTTGCCGAGAACTGTGTTATCAATCTACACTGACGTATTCATTCTAGGTCCACCTCAACCTAACAGAGTACACAGCATGAAAAATACTCCAAACGGAGAAGTCACAAATTTCTTTCGTGAATAAACAAATAACTAACATTTAACCAAACGCTACGATCAGAATTTAACGGTACTAAGATCTTGTCCCAATTCCTTTGCCTCATGCGTTAATTAATTTAGCCGCTCCCATTTCAGTTCTGTTAACTGTAGACGTTATGGTTTCTCATTAAAACTACAGAAAATGACAATTCTCTACTCACTGGTTAAGAGATTCGAACTGATCAAAACTAATTTTTAATTGGGTTGGACTATAATTTATGGACGACCTTTGAACGACGCCAAAATGACCTTTTGTGTCTACCTTCTTACTAGGACTAAATGCGGGTTATAAAAGAGGTTGAACAGTAAGGATTATGATTCACAGTTGATGGTTAGAGTTAGGAATTAGATTTACGGTTTTTCATCACGAACTCACATCAGCTAAAATACCAAGACGATATCTGGCCTGATGGATAAGTGAATTACGCACCAAAATCCGAGACCTGTTATCTTAAACTTGATTGGGTCCTCCGTATTCTCGCCTCTCAGTACCAACTGTAGGAAGTAACTTCCTACAGGTGTAATTCCAAACTATTCTCTAGACTGTCGAAAACAGAGTGTAGTGACTTACTTTTATCAGGAGAACGTGATTAGTGTAATAGAAACAATTATTATTGTAACCAATTGTACCAGTGATTGTTTTACCGTACTAAAATACATACAGTCTTCCGTTGCTTGTGACCTTGCACGAATTCGGTTACACTCAGTAATCACACTTGTACTCCTTCGGCACGATCTCGGTATTCTTTCGATATCATGAGATCGCCAACTAATACATCTCGACTAAAGCCATCAACTGTTTTTTGATATTTGGCCTACGGAGGGGTATAGTCTGGTAACTGGCACGTAGTCTTCCTGTAGTGGTAATCATAGTCAACCGCAACTCGACGCCACACTACAACAGTCTAATCTTAGCTTAACCAAAGTCAGATCAAGTAAGCTATTCGGCTTAATAAACTTTATCTGTTTCTAAAACGTAAATCAACACTGTCACTATACAAAATAAACAATACAGTCTATTATTCAGGGAAAAGGAAAAACATAAATAACATACCGAACAGTAACTTGACTATAAGAGAAATGAGTCAACAAAACGAATATTGATTTAAGATGAACATAAAACTGTGATTGGTGGATAAACAAGGCAGAGTCAAGGTCAAAGACAGCTAATGTGTTGGTGGGAATTTCATGTTAGCATTGGTGAGTTCGTTTATCGATCACACGTAACAGCAACTACGTTTAAATAACCATACATTTCCATAAAGCCAACTGTAGTGCATCTTACACATACCAGATTAGATTAGTAGTCTTGGGATCCTATCAAGGCTTTTTTCTGTGTTTTTAATATTCACAACTGATTCCATACAAGGTAGATGCAGACTACTTCGGTGGGGTCTGCATCAACATCGTAACCAGAGCTTGAAGACTCTGGGTGACATTTAGTGTCAGTTATTATGCCAAGCCCATATACCTTATTCTAGCTTTCGGACATCCCATTTTATTCATCCTACTCGAGCCATACTTTGACCTTGTTATTTATTCGCTTATCAATCTAGTCTGTTTTTATATGAGCGTATATGTGTGTGCCCTTCTTATCCCATTAATCACGTGTCTGTAGCTTTATTTTGTCTGACTATAAATATTGAGTAACGCATATATAAAATCGAGTTGGCTTCCCAGCCGTCTTCACTGCGTGTTGTTTTGCTTTGCTCTGTTTCATTCGATTCATATACAAAAATATATATATATTCACAAATCGATTCTCGTTATTCGATTTATTTAATTCCGTTATTGGCTAACGCGATTAAGTCGACGATTGTATACCAGAATAGGCCATAACAATCATCCATACGATCTTGGAGTCAGATTCTCGGGCCACTAAATACATTGCTCAGAATCGATCACAACGGCGTCGGTGCAATCTATTTTTTATATATTACCACCGAATTAACCACTACTAGGAATCCGGTGTTCCTCTCACTGTGCTAATGCAGTATGGCAAATTGAACCGATGCACATATATGCCTGGTCCTACGTTGTAGCTGACAGACTGACTGACGATACAAGGAGTATTCTAATACATTTGAAGTACAAAATAAAATGATATGTGACCTAATTAGCTTAACTGATGTAACTGTTTTCTTTTGTAAACAGATTGTTACACTGAAATCTGTAAATTAGTAGTGGTCAGAGTAATATCTTCATTATGTTATAGGTCAAAAATTGTTTACATTCTTATTTACAATGTTGCATTTGTAAAAATCATAAATTGAGAATATCTTCTTGAAATAACATTTCTCTCCCAGGTCTAGTCTGAAGTTTTTCAGAGGTCATGAAACCATTTTGTATTCATGTGGTTTACACTACTCATATCGACAGATATAAGTAGTATGTATCATCAATCGAAAGTGAAATGCCTGGCTACATAATGTTAATTAGATCGAATGAAAGAGAACGAGAACAGAGAATGATTGGTGGGGAAACGAAATAACAATGAATTCTGAGACGATTGGTTGACATTTCGCAAATGAAGAATTTACTGTATTGTTCTGAGATCTTATGAAGATGTTCTGTAATTTTGTACTGTAGTACATTAAGTTGACACCGATTGTGTTCTCCTTCAATACACTAAGAGATTGTTCATTTATGTTAGACTGTTGATTCTGAATTCTAAAAGTGCAAAGTAGAGACTACAAACGTTGAAATATATTCGAATTAAAGTATATGGCGAAACAGATTAGTATATAATCAGTTCGTATATGAAAACCATTGCCTAAATATGAAGTAGGATTTTCGTCCAATTCCAATTAGTCAATAATTGGATTAGTTAGTAGATTTATTTCGACAGATATAATAAATCTCTAATTGTGATCAAACAAGTCGGCATATGAGAAGTTTATCTCGTTCCATCTACTTAAACAAAACCGGAAATGTATAAATCGACCACATAATGCACTGGAGTTCAGTAATACACCTATTCAGAGAAAAATAGGGAGGTAACTCCCTTTTTAAAAGTCATGTATGATACACAAGAAGTGAGTAGTCACATATCACTGTCATACACACATGTATGAAACATGCTCAAGGTTAGACGTCGTTTGGTTGACGAGCGAATATATATGCGTAAACGAGCAAATGAATGATGAAGAGAATTCATCTGTTCATAGGTCAGGATTAACCACGTAGGTCTACAAAAATATCAATTACTACACGACCATATTTATAATAAGCATGTCAGCATGGTGTATCACAGATGGGATCGGTTAATAATTATCTGTCCAAAATAGGTCATGCACACATATTTTTCTTGTCGATATCGACTAAATTCAGTTGGCTCATAAAGAGTTAAACAAACGTGACATTAGTCACCACTCATTGTTCAATCAGTTGAGATTACCTCAATCATACAAGAAACCAGTCAGTATCCGAATAACTCAGTCGTAACTTCCTTGGCTGTTCAACCGAATAATACGGATTCGAGTAGGTTAGGAAACATCAGATATGCGTTGCCGATTAGTGTCAAATAGCATAAAACCTAGGTATAGGATTTCATTCTGACTGCCTCCAACCACCCAATATTTCTATAAGCATACTGATTTTCTATTGACACATCAACCCACTATAAATTAATAATATATTTGTAATATCCCAATGAGTAGAAAAATTAGATTTTCTGACGTTTCATGACTTGGTGTAAGCCACTTCTTCAGAGGGTGAATAACCAAATCCAAGTTTAAAATGCACAACAAATCAACCCACTATATTTTTCTCCATTCATAGCAGGTGAACAATTATTTTCCTCTAAAAACTAGCCCTATACTACGTTGATCAATACTACTTATACCGACTTATACTGACAAACAGAAGTAGTACACACCACCAGTCGTATGTGGAATGTCTGTCAGTGGAAGATTGAACTGAATAGAACGGGATAAGAAACAGTGAAAATTCGTAACAATAATAAAATCCAAAGAATCATAATGAATGTTAAAGACAACTGAAAGATGTGCAAATAACGTTTTTTCAACGCACTCTGTAATTTCTCATCAAATATTAAATCGGTTTATCCCACCTAAGCTATTATATTCTGTCGAGAATAATGAGTGGTAACTCTTGAGAACTATCTATGCACCAATAAGATCCATATATTTTTATTGTAGAATTTTTAAGCAGCTAAACGATCCATATGCATTTTCCTCTTATTAGAAGATTTATTTTGACTTATGGAATATTATTATACAATTTACCGTTATTGAGTTCTGTCCAGTCTGTTAATTATAGTCTCCCACATTCACAGACACTTTCGGCTACATCTTCTACAAACGTTATTTTCTATTTTATAGTACGATGTGGTCTGTTTGATTTGTATATGAATCCAGTATGTTTGAAGTACATGATTCATATCACGGACGCTGCGATTAGTGTTCTATACTCAACGGGTGGGGCTAGGCAGGAAGCAGAACCGATAAAGTCTATAGACTGCTCGCACGGGTTTTACTCATCTTTGGTCCGGTCGATAACTCACTTTTCTCTAATTGGCGGTATCATTACGTCATATATTAATAGTGCACGATGCCACAATTTGTAACAAAGTCTTCTTACAATCCATTGACACATCTCACCAATAATTCAATCACTCCTCAATATTTGATATTTATTGGGTTCAAGACAGCTCTGTTTTTTAACACACTCTTAAATATGCGTTAACTAAATAGAATTACAATTTTACTGGTTGAGGGCATGAGTCAATTGAAGTTAGATCACCATGGAAATTCTGGAATAACTGTAATTCAATTTCGTGGATTAGTTGAAGTTACACATTAACACCATTGGATCCCGGCTGCATCAGTAGTCTAGATGTTAAGCCTACGTGAGCGAGACCGATTGGTCCAGGGTTCGAATCTCGCGTGGCGAGATCGTGGATGGGCACTGCTGAAGAGTCTCACAATAAGATGAAATGGCTGTGCAGTTCTTCCAGGTTGTCAATGGTGGTCCAGCTTCAATTGACTCATGATCTCAGCTATTAAAATTCCACAAGAAATACCTTCTCATATACATGTGTTAACTGAATAGAATTACAATGGTACAACGTCAGTATACGATATTGTAAAAAAAGAAAGGCTTAGAAAAATGGATGATCTTTATTTGTTAATCATTGAAAAGTGAACAAAACGAATGTTCGTAATATAATTCACTGTATTAAAACAAACGATATATTTGGAAATCAATTAATTATCAAATATATATGAATGTGAATGATGATTGGCTCACTACGATTGTAAAATTGGATTCATTACTTTAGCTGCCATTATCGGCATTGTTAATTGTTGATCATATATAAAGCATATGAATGGATGAGTTACATGAAAGTCTACTTCTGGTATAATGGCTGAAATAGGCACAAATATAGGTGAGGTTACAGTGGTTGCTTCAATTCCACTTTCATTTAATTTTAATACATTTGTTTGAATAAATTCATTCACATATAGATTGTGATTAGGTGTGATACCTGACGGGAAAATAAACAAAAGCATGAAGTAATCGAATTAATGTGCTTGAATTTAGAGGTACACATCAAATCAAGAATGCAAGTACATCTTGTTGATGAATATTAAATATTATTCTATTATTAGCTACATTCACTCGCTTCTATATACATATAATAGATTGATTAAATTTCTAAGATCATTTACCCACTGAATCTACTATTTCAAACATCCAATTCAATATCCACGGTGTCAAAAATTAACGAATGATTACATATTGAAATAAGGTTCCACTTCGACTGGATTATTCTTTTCCAAAACTGCGGAATTTTTAATCGATGAAACAGAATCGGCTGGATTTTGTTTGGGAGATTGCTTCCAATACTACTCTGAAAGTTACTTATTTTCTCACGTTATTCATGAATAAGTATAATTTCGACGATGTCGAAGGTTAAGTCTAACATATTCATCAACTGTTCTGGTAAATATTATTACACAGATCAACTTTGTCTTTTCTATTTCCTTATAAACATTTTGAGAACCGAACAACTTATAATTGATAATCAAGTACTGAATTATAAACAGTTTGGGTCCATCTAACTGTTTTTCACGTTTCAACTCCACACAAAGGAAATGTTGTTATGTATGTCTTGAGAATTCTGACTTTAGTCTTGGCTGTCTATATGTGTATAATAATTGTGTTCGTATGTGTATGTATGTTTGATTATGGATTACAGCCTACACGCATATTCTTCTCACTAGCATAAATGTTGCTTACTTAAATTGTTCCACGATTTATTCGTTTTCCCATAAAACGTGTTTCTGAAACCCATTCATTGATTGACGTTTAAATTCTCTTTCTTATTCGCTCCGAGTGCTTGACATTTGTACTTTACTTCCATAGACTGTAGTAACCGCATCGTATTTCCTTTTGAAATTTATGCATCTATTCGAGTTATCTAATGACGGTTATAATGGCAGGTGATACACGAAGCATAGCAGTCATCTTGAAGAAACTCCACTACTCATTGACTTCGAACGTTTGAATAAAACCACATAAACTATCTGGGCATAGAAAACATACTAGTAATCTGAGGTGCTAATATCCACTCGAATTCACAATAGAATAATCAGAATTGATAAAAAGAACAATGTATAACATTTTATGTGAATTTACCAACTTAGATATTCTTACCTGACAGATCAGATTTTACTGGATCAAACAAATCGACAACACCGATAGACTTTAATGTTGGCACAAGGTCAAGTGTATTTTTCAATGTGAATTTCGGTAATCGTAATGACACTGTAGTTTCTTTCAAATTCTTTACGTATTCACTTAAAACTTTATTGCCATTCAAAAGTTCTGTGGCACCATTTAACGACCACTTTTCAAGAGGTAACACGATAACAAATGTGAAACGTGTGTTCTGGAGATGTTTGAAGAAAGAAAGAACGAAATGAAATAAATGAGAGTAAGCCTGATGTTATAACTTATAAAGAAGCAAGCACTTGCAAATGATGAGACCATATGGATTTTCAAACGACTGGTTACTTTGAACAGGTAACGACATTACGCAAATAGTAAAAGAAAGAAGGCTACAGAGAAAACTGATTTACCACTACTGAAATATCTTGGACTGGGTTCGTATCCATTTAAATATCCCCCATTATCATGGAATCCGTATGACTATTCGTGTGATCACCAAATTGGCAGTATAGGATTTATGTAAGGACGGCCTAGGACAATTACAACAGTGGCCTCAGAGGCCTTAGAACAGCCGAACAGTTTCATTCAATCTCAACGCAATGGCGCTTTCCAGAATACCAACGTGGTATTCTACTGTTAGTCTATAAAACATCATGCCTCTTTGTGAATTTTTTGAATAATAATGTTGATTTAAAAAACGCCAATATCTATAAATACCCGTAATTTTCGGTACATTCTAATACTTGCCCAACAAGCACTTTCTCCAGTCTTCTTCTATCTTCTCATTTACGACTTGGCAGGGTTCTAGCGTTAAACTGCTCAAGCTCTACACAGTATACTAGAAAACTAAGCTCTAGATATAACAAATTATTAAATTCATTTGTATAATTGTTGGAGTGAAAATAACTGTTCAATGTAAACAGTTTATTAAAAATGAGTGCAATCTCAAATCGATAAGTCTAATCCAAAAACTCTACAAATAATCAAACATTTATGGTACCAAACTGTAGCACGGGTAAATGAACTGTTAATTTTCAAGTGAATGATGCTAGATAAGGCACTTTCTCCACAAAAATAAATTATGATAATCTATACACTTTGGACTAAACGATTGTCCTGTGTTTCCAGGTCTCCCATGGTCGTCTAGGTTCAATGGACTCATGAATTCAATCATCAAAATATAGAATAAAGAGACTGACAAACTCAAAACATAACAATAATTAGAAAAAACACACTTTTAATTACTAACATTTAATGGTTTACTGACGATCTCAAATCCTTCATCTTCGAATTTTCCATATTTCATTACCCCTTCTTGAGTCATCATATCAACTGTTATTTGACGATCTGGTGAAATATAAAAATCCTCCTTTCTAGTGTAATGAGGCTCAAATGGACTTTGCCAAAAGTCTAAAATCAACGATAACTGTGTTATTTCGATGAATATGCAGTACAAAAATATTATCTTTTCATTTCACAGTATTTGTTAAACTGAAAACATCACGAAACAAATGACACTCTAATTTGTTTTGTGGTATAATGGAATCTAAAAATTGCTTTGCAATAAGACGTAAGGAAAAAGCAGCATTAGAAATGATCAAAACACTTTCTGACTGTAGTTACTTACTTATTTGCTTACTCACTTACGCCTGTTACACCCCGCCGACTAGCATTCTGCAACTCAATCTGTACTGGGCCTTCCTTTCTACTTCTATCCAATTGTTGTTCATTTTCCTCATATCTGTCTCCATTTCTCGGAGTAATGTGTTCCATGGTCTTCCTCTTTTCCTTTGAACTTGAGGATTCCATGTGATAGTTTGCCTTGTGACACAGTTGACTAATTTCTTCAATGTGCGTCCTATCCACTTCCAGCACTTCTTCCCGATTTATTCTTTCTCTTGAATCTGGTTTGTTCTCTGCCACAGTAGGTTGTTACTGATAGTGTCTGGCCAAATGATGCGAGGTATTTTGCACAGACAGCTGTTAGTAAACACTGATATCTTCATTTAGAAGGGTTATGACGTCTTATGGTGAAAGCCGAGTTCCTTCTTAAAATAACGAGGATTATACCCCTTTTGACAACCAGAGCAACCATTAATTGAAGTACATGGAATGCTCGTACAATATGGAAGACCGGGAGAGTCTTCCAAAGTGATGCAGAAATTAAAAGATACAAACTGGAAGTGTTTGGAATCAGTGAAACACATTGCACGCAGGTTGGACAACAACGACTAGCTTCAGGGGAGCCTCTGTTATACTTCGGCACGAAATGCACTTATAGGATGGGAATCTCATGAATCCAGGATCATTAAAGCCTCTTTCAAAACTAAGAAAGAGGGCATGACAATGAACGTCATCAAACGCTAAGGGCCTTCCAGTGACTGCAATAAAGATCTTAAAGATCAATTCTACAATATTCTGCAGTCAATCGTCGATAAGTACCCAGCAAATGATTTGACCATTCTGATGTGAGATCTGAATACGAAGGTTGGAATGGACAACACCGGATATGAAGACATCATGGGACGACACGGACTGGGAGAAAGGAACGTAAATGGTGAGAGGTTTACGAACCTATGTGCCTTCAATAAACTGGTCATAGGCGGCACTATATTCCCACATAATCGCGTTCACAAAATCACATGAACTTCACTGCGTCACACCACGCAAAATCAAATCGACCATATCTGCATCGGACTTGGTCCGTGGCGGTGATTGTGTGGTTTTTGGAAGCATCGGATTGTGGACCGTTCTCAATTTTATTCCGATGAGGATTTCTGCTGGGGACTTCTGCTCGTGTAAAACATCACTTAGTGTCACTCTGTAAACGAGGAAGTTTTGCAGTTTCCACTGGCGTCCCCTCCCCTTTCAACTTGATCAGAGCTCTCTTAAATGTATTCACAAATCTTTCTGCTTGGCCGTTTAATTGCGGCTGGTAGGGTGGACAGCGGAGATGCTTGATGGATAATCGTTGGCAGAAATCTTGTAACTGCGTTGAAGTGAACTGAGAACCGTTATCTGATACAATTGCATCCGGTGACCCGTTGCGAGCGAACGTCTCCATCAAGAGATGTATCGTTTTGGTAGTTGTCAGTGGCATAATGTGGACAATTTCTGGCCATTTTGAAAAGGCGTCCATCACGACTAGATGGATGGTCCCACTGATTGGACCAATGAAATTGACATGTATCTTGGACCGCGGATACTCAGATCGTGACCATGAGACCGGCGTCACTTTAGCATTAAATTTCGCCGCTTGCTGACATTGCGTGCGTTTGCCTACTAAATCCATGATGTGTTGGTCCATGAGGGGGCCAATAAGCATAGTTTCCTGCGATGGGTTTCATTTGTTTTATACCAGGATGACCAGTGTGGAACTGCTTTAGCACCCTTGATCTTAGGGACTCTGGCACCACTAATCTATCTCCAAACATCAAGCACTCATTCACGACGCATAATCAGTCTCAACGGTGGATAGCTTCAAATCTAACACTCTCTCATGGTGATCGACTGGATCATGAAGACATCAACATCTTGGGGGTAGCATGGGATTCAGTGGACAGCTAGGATACAGTTGGACGATTCAGACTTCGCAGATGATTTGGCTCTTCTATCGCGCACGCAACAACAAATTCACGAGAACAAGACCAGTGTAGCAGTAGCCTCATTAGCAGTAGGTCTCAACATTCGCATAGGGAAAGCAATATTCTCCGATTTATCACAACATGCACCAATCAAATCACACTTGACGGACAAGCTTTGGAAGATGTTAAAACATTTACGTATCTATGTAGCATAATTAGTGAACAGGGTGGATCTAATGCAGATATGAAAGCAACATATCTACAATTGAAGAACATCTGAAAATCAAAATAACTGTCAACCAACAACAAAGTCACAATTTTCAATACCAATGTCAAAACAGTTCTATTGTATGGGGTGGAAACTTGGAGAACTACCGAAACAACCATCCAGAAGATACAGGTGTTTAATAATAATTGTCTATGCAGAATACTTAGGACCCGTTGGCCAGACACTATCAGTGTTAACATACTATGTTAGAGAACAAACCGGATCCCAGTGGAGGAAGAAATCAGGAAGTGCTGGAAGTGGATAGGAAATACATTCGGGAAGGCACCCAACTGCGTCACAAGTAAATTTCTCACTTGGAATCCTCAAGGTCAAAGCAAGAGGAGGCGACGACAATGGAACACAATGCACCGAGAAATGGAGACAGATATGAAAAGAATGAACAACAATTGGATAAAACTAGAAAGGATGGCACAGAATAGAGTGGGTTGGAGAATGCTGGTCAGTGGTCGATGCTCCACTGGGGGTAACAGGCATAAATAAATAAATAAATAAAAAATAGCGTTATTCATTTGGTGCCTGTTGCGTTATATCGGACAATCTTGCTTGTTCCTTTATATATGCTGAGACTTACATCAGATTTGGCGGCTGCCACGCTGGTCGTGTTCTCATGCATTTGTTGTGGCGTGTGCGATAGAAGAGCTAGATCATCTGCGAAATCTAGATCATCCAGCTGTATCCCAACTGTCTACTATATACCGAGCTTCCACCCCCACAAATTATAAAATGATTCACAATAGTGTGTTTGGACAAGAGTTTGGAAAAGTTCACAAACTCGTTGATCAATATATGGTATCTGTCAAAGTTTCAAAATATGCAGTAGTAACCATGGTGGTCCAGACATACGATTACTGCTTGTTCACATCCATCAACATGGCTTATTCCTCGATGACCCAACTTCAAGTCATACTAGCATAAACCTTCACTCAACGTTTACAGTTCCGCCTATTTCACAAGTCTCAAACATCACAAATCTTAATTCACGAACATCCTACATGCTCACTTTAATCGCCCTATAAACAAAATACAAAATACTTAACACGAACAATTCAGGCTATTATTGTGATTCTGATTATTCAAGTCATCACATTTTAAGCAACAAATAGTCTTCAAGTCTGTTCTTCTATTAAACTCTAGATTTTAAACAGTCGGATCATAGCTTACCTCTAAAGTAGAAAACATTTACCAGTATCATCGCAGTATCATCTGGAATATCATCTGTAAAGAATTTCTCCAATAAACCATTAGACTGTTGATCAACCCAATCATTGATATCAACTGTAGCACTAGTTCCATTAGAAAAATCCACCTAGAGTAATGAACATTAAGAATTTGTAAGCGTTAATTAATTCTAATGAACAAATACTAACAGAATTAATGACTTCATTGCGATTATGATTACCGATAGTAAGCTTTGCAGATGTCGTGATCTTTAAGTTGGATCATTTATTTGAATATAGTTCGTCGTTGTGAATAACATCAGCAGCATATGCTTCAAAGATAAGTGGGTCATTACAATAATAGTAAACTTTAAAACAAAATTAATTCATCACATGGATAGATCTGTGACTAGATTACACTCAGAGGTAAAGTTGTGCGACATTCCAACGACTAGGATTCCGATTCATGATTTACGAACCAAGCAATCCATAATGTGACATGTGGTAGTATGAAGTTTTGTTTTGAAATAGAATTATAATTTACATGGTCGATAATTGAATTGAGGTCCTCTATGGATTGTAAGATCCATAATGATGGCTTCGTGTGTGAAAATCCCACCATATATACACCTGTAATTCACTCCTCTTGATCCCTTCAGTTGTACATTCTGTTGGCCTGTTTAATTCCATTTCAAATAGGTAATATTTGTATTCTATTACAGATTTCCTTTTCCTTACTTCTTCACTGAGTCCCCATGTTTTCTCCTGAACTGCATTTTTGATTGTGAATTTAAGCACTCTTCCACAATTGGAAACAATCGGTGTTATAGCGCAATCAAATATTATTCTTCGAAAGAATCTGTACGTGTTCTATCCACAAAGGATAGAATACCATTTATTTGTTTGTTTGTTTTTGTTTCAACTAAGTAACAGCACCTATCTAAACTATCTAGACAGTTATTCTTTTAATCCAAACATTACTATATATAACCCTGTTTAGCATACTGTGAGAAAAGCTCACAATGTGAATTTGAAAGTTAGTAAACGTCAGAGAGCACACTGGAGACATTTAATCTCAGTTTGAAACAGTGCGCATAAGTGATCTCAAATTTATTCGAACGTATTGCATTAATATGCCACAATGATTATAATATTATTCAGCTGCTCAGCTGAAATTCAACAGCATTATTTTTCTCCATGTGAATCCATAAACGATTTAGAGGGGAAATCTTTTTAAGTCATACAGTTATGACCTGATAAAAGCTTCGTTCCATTCATACGTTATGATCTATTACTGGAACTGTTCTAAATCCCACTTAAAGTAACTCAAAGTGAATGTATGGTTATTAATCATTCAGATGAGACAAAACAGTCAGTCAACTCATCCATTATTTCTACTGGTTTTTCTGGTAATATACCCACTCTACACTTTCAAACTAAGTAAATCATCCAACTAAATAAGATGGACTTTTCCGAAGTATCACATCACGAATAATAAACTATTTTAAGAACATTCTATGAATGAAACGGTCGATTACTTATCGATTAATGTTTGCGAAAACGACTGATTCTTCATTACATTAAAATTTACACAAAGTATAATGACTTACCTGTTTCAATTCTCCTTCAAAATCATTTGCAATACTTTCGGTAAAACGTCTTTCAACTTCGTACGTTTTTTGTACAAATATGCCTGTTGATATTCTAACAACATTTTCTTCTTTCTCATTTAGAAATGTTTTTTCTGAAGTAAGCGAGTTATTAAGCTCTTGATATAATGATTTCATTTCTTGTTGAGCTTCCGAAGAATTCCATGAAGAAGATGTCGATTTCAGTCTCATTGTTTTTCCAATTTGATAACCTGTTCTACCTTGAGCACCACCAGAGCCCAACAGGATACCGAGTGTGAAAAGTATACCAAGTGGGCATGTCAGGAAGTTGTCCCCACCTAAGCCATTTGGATAAATAATGTTAAATAAATAAACAGTAGACAATAGAAACACATTCTAGGGTACAAATGTCAAGGTTAAATTAGACATTATACTATAGGTTGGGTAATATGAAATTTAATCACTTCAACAGTAAGGTCTTCTTATGTTGAATTTGTTAATATTGACAGAACATATACCACCCTTCGTATTTTCAACTATATCACCGAATGTCACATCTCAGGTAGAATAATATCGATACTACATACCTCGTCATTCTGATCTACTTGATGTACAGTATTATTCAAGCAAGCTTCTGTTTCTTCCTCACTGTTACGAAAGAAGCAGAAAAAATGGCTTGACCACTGAATAGAGGTGATTCTGTTTAGGAAATCGTCGTATGGTATAACTTTGATGTAGGTTTGTTGGTCACACCATTTCATTGAACACGTGCAGAGTAAACATCTTCGCAAGTTAACTCTAGGAAAGAACTTTAATAAATATCTTATGACTGTTTTCATCTGTCATCCTTAATAAAAATTATCGGAAATTCAAGAACATGTGGAAAGAATGCCATTTAGTTTTTCTGTATTAACAAAGAGTTTTTTCCACACACAAATAAATACAATTCAACTGCAATAATGAGTCACATCGAAAAGAATCTTCTCCTGTAAATTGTGCCTTTCCTACATTTTGTGAATGATTTTGTATGATATTAGCAAGATTCTAACCCACTACCTATGAGTTTCGATCGCGAACACTTAAATTCTAAGACACAGGGCATGCCAGGATCCAAAAGTGTTAATATCTAACATCAACTAATCCACGAAATCGAACGACACATCCACAATTGTCTTCAATGAGCAGATATCTCACAACAGACTCAGTCGAACTCCACTGATCACTGTTTCTCACTAAAACTCCAGGAAATTGTTATTAATGTAATGCTTTGATTAAACTCTTATCAATGACATTATTAATCAAGTTATAAATTAATCAACCAACGAGAGGTATATACGAATTCAATCGTAAATAATTAATAAAACTTACCAAAGTCTGCAGTAACTGTCGAAAGATACGTACGGGTAAATGCCTTATGACTTGAAATATTAGCATATGGATCATCATTTTCTGGAGTAAATAGTATACCCATATCTTAAACTACTACAGAACTAGTTAACATTAATGACTAATTTATTTATATATATAATAAGCTAATCACCATTTTTTAAAGAACGCCTTAGTTTAATCCTACAGATATGTCTTACTAGTCATCAGTAGTATGATTTAGATTGGTTAAATCGGATTAACTTGTTCAACACTATGCGTATAACACTAGAAACCAAACTAATGTTCGACCAATTAAGTCTAATAATATTATCACAGCTTTGTGGATCAATATTTGCATGAATAGACCATTAATATGCTTTCAACATATGACATATAGATGAATATTTCTTAAATTAGATAATAAATTATAATCTGAAATCTGATCTAAACGTATGCAAAGCGAGACTGATTTCCGTCTTAGGTTAGAACTAAACAACTGATCAACACTTCCTGGTTATTCATGTTGATGTCACTCTGTACCACTAACCAACATTAATGTGTAATTTGTAATCATTTGAAATATCATGTTGCACAAATGAGTGGATATCTAAGCTCAGTAGTAGGTAAGTGGAACGAATGACACCAGTTTTGAATCTCAGAGTGAAAGTCAATTCTGAGATGCAGGTATAACTAGATGACGGGTACCAGTTAGACAGAAATGAGCAGTCGGAATTTCACTGATAGTCACACTCTCTCTCCATCCTATATCATTTTTAAAAAGTTTAGTTGTTAGATCACACGTCAAAATAAGTGTGATTTTTATGAGATGTGTATAGTTCCATTACAAATGATATTTATTGTTTAGAATAATTTAGGTTGTTTTTTAACAATTCTACGCTTTGTAATATTAGTAAACAGAGAGTTTGTAACTTCATGCATATCAGCTACTTGTTACGCTTGTGATTTTAACAAAACAGTAGTATTGTAGAAACCACTTATTTATTTGAACACAAAAATATTGTTAAAAAAGGGCACCGAATGCATATACGCTACACAAGTCACTCGATTTGAGTGTGGGCTGTGATACTGCTGAGTGCCCAGACCGAAGTATGTGGTTTTCTTAGGGATTCAAACCTCTAACCTTCGACCTAAAATTCTAATCCACAAGGCGGTGGAGCAACGTGAGGAGATGCAGTTCAATGGTAGCCGGTGATCAGCAATATGTTCATTCACCATTCGTCTCATCAGGATCCTGGAGTTCATGTGAACTATTGGTTTGGAATCAAGGTTTTTTGACTCCACTAGATCGACCCTCCGTATCCACCAACCTGGTTAAAGCGCCGGACATTCACTTTCCGACTTTGCAATTTCGTAAACAACACCCGTGTGCCAAGAAGGCGGTGAGTAGTACTTCTCTGGCAGTGGTTGTATACCCGTGGCCATGTGAGGGGATTTCGAGAAAGAGAGCTAACTCTTCCTACACTCGACCGTACCGGGGCATTTGAGGTCGATGTCTAAATTAGATTTCATCGACCTTTAAAACACGACTTCCATATGGTGTCAATTTGTTTTATAATAATAATAATTTCAAATGATATCTGAATTTCCTAAGTTTGATATAATTCAGTTACATTATTTAATCATTCGATTTGTATAAGGTAGACTGTACAGCATTTAACATTAGTTAGTCATTAACTCACTATATAAATACAAATTTACAATATCATAAAACTGTCACCAATAAACAACAGACATAATTCATTTACTATATTATGAAATCACTCCATTATAATTTCTCATATGATCTAGACGATGATGAAGAAATTATTTTCTTATTTCAGTTGCACAATAATCAATTAAGTTTATGTTCATTATGTCAGAAATGAATCACAGTTAGTCCGAGAATTATAAGGTGATATTACTGAGGAGTTCCATACTGGGACGAAACGGCCGTCTATTGCTTCCAGGTTTTCCATGGTAGTCTAACTTCATTTGACTCATGATTTCAACTGTTGAAATTACTAAAATCTCCACAAAACCCCTTCAGATTTTATTGTGTCTAGAATAATTAAGAAAACGGATACCGCAGAAAGTTTATAAGTTAATATATAATCAAGAAGATTAAAATAGACGAAACACAAAAAGTGAACATGAAATCCTTGTTCATGCGCCTACAATTCAGAATGAATGCGAACAGTGAAATATTAATTCAGAGATTAATCAGAACAATCCGAAGAACGTTTCACAGTGGAAAACTATGACTTGCATTTTATACTCGCCTGATTATGATATTAGGGTTAAAAGATGAATAACCTAGAATTGTATTGAACAAGTTAAGTGAGGAACAATTAACTTAATAGTTATAAAATATCTTGATAAAATATAAGAACTATACATTAAAAGCCATCATCCTTTTTTAAAAGTGTGCTGACGTCCTATGTTATCCATTCACAGCTATCTTTAACGGATCCTTCTCATCTAATCTCATACCAAAAATGTGGATAAAGATGAAGATAATTCCTGTACCCAAGAAAATATCTAGTGATAAGAATGTAACATTTAGACCTATTGCAATAACTTCACCCTTCCTCAAAACAATGGAAAAATTAATAATACTTCCACTTCAGCCTGCGATAAAAGAGCATATTGATCCATATCAGTTTGCTTACAGACGCAAAAGAAGCACTTTAGATGCTGTTGCTGTTCTGCATCACAACATAGTGTTCAACTTAAAAAAGGGTCAGAAGTATGTTCGATGTGCTTTTCTGAACTGTACTTCAGCTTTTGACTTTATACCAAGGCAACGTTTAATTAACAAGTTAATCAGCGTCAACACTGACAGCTGGATAACCAACTGGCTATGTTCCTACCTCTCTGGAAGGGAACAGTACACTGTGTTTGGAGGGAAGAGTTCAGAGTCTCTACTGTCTCATGAAGGTGTATCACAAGGAGCTGTTCTTTCACCTCTTTTTTATTTTTTTCTGCATGATCTGCCATCTTCCACAGAAAACACTTATGAAATATGCGGATGATCTCACTGTATGTATGCCTATCTCTTCCTCTTTACATCCCATAGAAATGAATGAGTTTTTGTCTCGTATTGGTTTTTGGTCTGTTGGTAATGGTCTTATACTTAATCCGTATAAATGTCAAACTGTTAACTTTAGCATGAGACATGAACGGCATCTAAACACCATTTTGAGATCCCATAATCCTTGTACCATCGGAGACTCTTTGATAAACACAGTGTCGAAGGTCAATTGTCTTGGTGTTACCTTTTCCTCTCGTCTCTCTTGGTCTTCTCACTTTTTATTGTTATCGAATTATTACATAAAGAGGCTGCATAAATTTTAGGATTACTCGACATTTACTCTTACAATTTGTCAATTCTTGCATATTACCTATTATTCTTTACTGTTCTCCATTATTCTTTCACGGGCTTTTGAGAGAGGTCTTTGCTGTATTGCGGAGGGTGCTGAAGGCATTTATCAAGATGTGTGGTGAATCTTTCGAGATCATAATCAATATGGTTGTGGATAGACATTTAAAATCATGCAAACTCCTGGCAGGTGTTATTTTATCAGATACTAGCCATCCCCTTCACTCTTATCTTTCTCCTTGTATATCTTCTGGTATAACGAGACGTAATTACATTAAAATCCATGCACGCAAGTAAAAGTATAAAAGTTCTCTAATACCTCACCTAGCAAATATACTTTGTGACGAACAGGTTGTTAGAGTCAACCTAGTCAATAACTTGCATTCTTAACATATCCTTAATTCTAAAAGTTGTACAGTTTTTCGGGATTTTTGTCTTTTTTTTCTTTTTTCTTTTTTTGAAAAAAACATTTCTCTTTTTTTTGTGTTCGTTACTGTTTTTTTGTTGTTGCTTAAGTAACTTGTTGAAATAACCTGTGCTGAGAATTCTATATTGTACCAAAACTATAATATTGAATAAAGCCATTAATAATAATAATAATAATAATAATAATAATAATAATAATAATAATAATAATAATTGTCTATCACATCCTGTATAATGCTTCCAACTCAAAATCCTTATTTGTTTACATTCCCGTTCTCTTCAATTCAATCTTCTCAACTTTCTGCCTGCTAGACATTCAATTTCTGATTGGTATTACATATTACTTATATCTGTCGAAATGAGTAGCATACACTAAAAAATGACCATCTCATTCTGTATTATAACTGGTTGACTATTGTTATGATACAAGTAATACTGATTGTTATTCTTTATCCTGATATTGTTATTTCAGTATCAGATATCAATTTTCGTCGTCATAAAACTTTGCCCTACTGATCTCTGTATTATCTGGCTATCCATAAACCATAGACGATTTGTCATGTTTTGTTTCATGGTGACATAGTTACATATTCACGCTATCATTGTATGATGACCTTTATCATTTTATTTAGCATCTATGTGATATTCATATATTTTTTTAAAGAATCTAAATGTGACATTCATATATCGTGATCCCTTGATAAATTTTAATGAAACGATAAGAACACCACTAAACTAGTGACATGAATTCATTATGTATTGAGGTTATTCATCAGCTGAGAACGACCTAAATCTACATCAGTTACATTATTGTAAACAAAGTTTTATATATGGTAACCAATGAAGTTTAATTAGAGACGACTTAAGAAACAAAAAAGAAATAATGACATATATAACACTTAAATTAATAGTTAAGACTGATTAGTACTGTTATAACGCTCGGTTTTACTTCGTCTAATGTTATAACGGTTGGTTATCCTTGTTTATACGAATGGGACGCTAATTTACCTTAGATGAATATCTACACTAGATTCCTTCCCAGTGGAGAAGATTTGTAGCTCAGGTGGATGATTTTGATGGAGTTTTGTTCTCTGAGCTGGATGGTTTGGTCGTGGAGCTTTCATCGTTCTTCTGAACGACATCATCAGCACAAACTTCAGATAGAAGTGAAGTGTTCGATTTTCTCCTTATGTGTTTCACAGCTTGTTCTGTGCACCTCGATGTTGATTGGTTCTTGTTGACCTTAAATTTATCATTGTTCACTTCTTTGTTTTGGTTGTGTCTCCCATTGTTTTGAT